GGGTGGGAGTTGGGACTCCTGGGCTCCGGGAAGAGGCTGGTGTCTGACGCCCGGGGGAGGAGTGCTGGGAGCGAGGACTCTGGATTCCTAGGTTTCCAGCTGGGCTCTAGTTGTTTGAGGGGGTGGGGGGCAGACGGAGACTAGGGCTCCGGACTCCTGGGTTCTGCCCTCAATGCCGGAGGGGAGCGGGGTCTAGTGACCTGGGGTGACAAAAGAGGCGCAACCCAGCTGTTCCCAGAGTCCAGCAGGCGGTGAGCCGCAGCCCCCGGGCTCGGGTTCGGGCTGTGGGACGTGGCCGACCCCAGTACAGAGCCGAGCTCATCCCGGCACCAGGGTTCCAACCCCGGGGCAGCCTGCCTGAGTCCAGGGAGCGGGGCCGGCTGTGCTTGGGGTAGGCGAGCGCACGGCGCAGCTGGGACCCAAGACCCTTCCTCACTTACAGGCTTCGCGGGCGCTGCGACTCCTGTGGGGCCCGGGTCCCTCTTCTTGCCCCCGCCGGCGGGGCCACTTCCCAGACACGCTAACCCGGAAACACAACCTCCCGCCGGAAGTGACAGAGGTCAGCAAAGCATGTGCAAATGCCGGCGGAAGGGGCGGAGAAGAGCGGGCCAGCCCTGGCAGAATTTTTAATGGCACACTGCTGCCTGCTAGGGTCCCGGCCACCGGCAGGCAGCAGCATGCCATAGGTTGCCAACCCCTGCTATATATGCTAATGGTTGAGAAGCTCCTTAATCCCATGAGTATTCTCACTGAAGTCAAAGGGAGTACTCATAAGATTTCATTTTTTTCTTGCATAAATATGCGAGTACTCCCTTTGACTTCAACGAAAATTCTCATATGATTAAGGACTACTTCTATACAGGTTTGCAGGATCAGGCTTTCACAATGGAACATCTCCACTGTCAAATCCACAGAGAATGCAGCAAGGAGAAGAGAAAGATCAAGAACATGATGTTCACACACACACAGAGTGAAAAAACAAGCAGGTAAACACATTAAAAGGACAATGTATGTATATTTTCAACAAATGCCCCAAAATCCTAACTCCACGCTATCAGTAAGATATAGCACTGTATATAAAAAATGTAAAAATAAGAGCAGAATCCTCTAAAATAGAGCTCTTTAAAGAACTGGACCATGATACCTTCATTTAAATATTCTCCAAGTTCATTAATCAAACACTGTGTCATCTTCAGTGGAGGTGGAAGGGGAGGTTAATTCTACCTCATATGACCTACTTTTGCTTCAATAAAAACAAAAAGCTGATCTACAGAACAAAAGATGCCTTGCTTGTGAAGTAGGAACCGATGCCAGCACACTCACGACTGACAAGAATAATTGGAGAGCATTAAAATTTGCTTGCTGTTGAAGATTTTAGATTGCCTTTGCAAAAACAGTTTTAGAATTGAGTCATGTTCTTCAGGAAATGTCCTCTGAACAGAGGTTTTAATGTAATAGTAGTTTTGAAGTCCAGTGATAAGGAGAAATATTGGCTGCAGCTAACCAAGGGTCAATGCTATGAATCCATAGTGCTCCCAACTCCTTCTGACTGCAGTGGGTGTGCCCAACACCTTTGAGGACTAGGTGCTAATGGGGATAAGGCAGTGCCAATCGCTCACAGAATATTTTCCACCCCCAATTTTAGTCTCAATGAGAGGAAGTGGGAGAGGGGAAACAGATCTGGGATACTGATGGCAAATTCCTTTCTTTAAAACCAAGCACAATTAGTAGATATTTCAAGTCATTTGTGGGATCATGCCAGACAATCAGAGAACTGAAAAACACTCATGCTGTTTTGTATAGTCACATTTTCCAGGTTCCTTCTGAACCTCACATTACCCTTAGGTATGAAGAAGGGTTTATTAAATGTAGAAAGCAATCTATCCAGAAGGCCAGTTTGCGGAGGTAGGGAAGGGGACGAAGACGGCTCAGGTAACTCATTTTAACACACACCCTACTAAGCTGCTCCTCGTCATGCTCCCTACACTAAACAAACAGCAGTAAAAAGATACTTGTTCTGTTGCAGCCAAAAGGCAGGGCTTGCAAGAAACATCGAAAGTTTCAGAGAGGTCTTCTGTTCTGGCAGTACATTATTAAGATGAGTTGCCAAGGAAGCTTTAAAACATGGGGCTGTGCTCTTTTTGCTTCTTTACGATCTGAAAAGCTGGAACACTTTTTTTTTTTTTTTTTAAGTTGTTTCTTTGCTTGTTTTTTACATTAAAAGTACCAGGACTACTGAGTCTGATCTTCCATGGTTTTGCTAGAAGGCCTGTTGGAGGACTCAGGGGTATACTGGGAGCACTCTCACACATTAACTGAATCGTTATGGTGTTAAGTCTTTAACAAATGTATCCTTTCACCCATGTGCTTATTAGGAGATAGAACTAAACGAAAATGTTAACAAACCCACAAAGTTCTGAACAGTCCAATTAGAAATCCCTTTACCTCTCAATTGCTCAGACTGATATTCTACTATTTCACTACAGTAACTCCACACTTAACGTAAGTTGTTTCGTTATTACGTCGCTGACCTATTAGAGAACATACTCCTTTAAAGTCCTGCAATGTTCCCTTATAACGTTGTTTTGCTCCCTCTGCTCCACCCTCCCGGGACTCCTGCCAGGGAGCGGGCAAGCCCCCACACCCCGATCTGCTCTCCGGCTGGAATGTAGGGCGGGCGGAGCAGGGCAAGCCCCCTTGTTCCCACCCCACCCCCAGCAGGAGCGCCAGGCGGGTGGAACGGGGCAAGTCCCCACATTGTCCTGCCAATATACCACAAACTGTGATCTGATGAGACCTTTCCAAGGTCAAGAGGACAGTTAAATCTTCCATGTGAATAAAGCCCCAGAATTATATGCTGGGACTGCCAATAAAAAGGTGTCAATTGCAATGGTAATTTTCCAATACGCACAATTTCCACTGAGAACATTACTAAAACCAGCAGCTAATCATACAGAGGAAATGTCAGATGGCAACTATTTTGTTTTTGCTATTCTAGCCTGGATTCAAGACAGTGTCTTAGAGGTGAAAGGATCTCTGTTCTATATGAGATTCTTGTTTTAGTTTTGGGAGCCGGGTGGGGAAGATGGAGGGGTGCAAGTGAATAAGTCCCCTTCATCCTCTCCCCAGTACTCTTGCAGATTTTACAGGGTAGTTGGAAATTCAAATATCTACCTCTAATTCAGCTTTTCCCTTATCTTATTACCTCCCCACCATGGCCAATCGCCACTGTCCACATATACTCCATTCTCCCAGTGTCCCTTACACTCACAAAGTCTTCCCCAACACCATTTTGGTTGGAGGTGGGGTTCTCCTTCCATATCTTGGACCCTACAAGGTAGTGCTGAACCCCATGAAAAAGATATACAGGATTTAGGTTTTCACAGAAGTTCCTCTCCATAAAATAACTGTTATTGCCACGTATCATATGTCTTATGAACTATACTGGTATAAGATGGTAAACATACAGGAAAATATCACACGGATGGTTGTTCTGAACAGTGCTCAGTCTCCTCTTCTGCAGATATTATGGAAGATTTAAGTTTAATTTCCAGTTTTGTTATACACTACTTACATGAAGTCACTTACTCTCTCTGCCTCAGTTCCCCACCTGTAAAATGGGAATAACAACACTCCTTTTCTTCCATCCTGGTCTATTCCATCCTATTGCAAGCTCTTTGGGGCAGGCATTGTCTCTTACTATATGCTGGCACTATAGGTATACACAATTGGCTAAATAAACAGACTTAGGGTGAGATCCTCACCCCAGCTCCAGCCACTTTTGCTTGGTAAAAGGGCTGGAGTAACATAAAGCCTCTGAAAGCCCAGAAGCTGGCTGGTAGCGAATTCCTCCCTGCACAGGACCAGCAAAAGACAGCCATAAAGCTGTCTCCCAAAGATCCCCTTGTAAATCTTGGTGTAGGGGGAGTACCCAGGTGGGGTAATGATAGCAGCATGTAATACTGCAGAGATTCTAAGTAGTGCTGGGGCCCATAGGCTGCCAGGGCTGTCTAAATTATGCCAGAGTCTGTGGAGCAGCCAGAATTGGAAAGGTGCAAAGGTATCTTAAAACCACCATATCCCACCCCGGGGGCTATGGATTCTTCATTGTGCTTATCTCATCATGTTTAAAGAACAGTGGGGGAGGATGGGGTGTATTCTCTTCCACACTTGGTTGTCATTAGAACACCTGGCTTCTCGCAGTCACTATAAGCTGACTCTGATACAGTGTACAAATCCCATACTGGGCCCGACGGGGTTAAAGGACAATACTGGGCCCAGGTACCCCCACCTCTCCCGACCTGCAGAGCATCCTCCAACTGCAGAGGAGGCTTAAAAGGGAGCAACTTAGCTCAGAAGGGGGAGGTAGGGAGGGAGACACACTTACCTTGAGGGATCCTGGACAAGGGTGCCGAAGAAGCCTCCTTTGGGGAAGAGGACTGCGTGCTGTGCCCAGTTGGGGCTGAAGGTTTAGCTGCCTTTTCTACTGATATCTTAGGTTGTACTTGGAGCTGTTGGGAGAGATGGAGGGACCCAGGAAGGGTAACTCCGAAGGGACTCCAAGGTGCTAGACTCTTATAGGACCTGGGTCAGAGCCTGGTGGAGTGGGAAGGCCCAGGCTGCCCTACCAACTTCTTCTGCTGCAGACGGGGCATAAGCCTAATGGTAAGGAGGGGGCAAGGACACTGAAAACACAAGATGATGCTAAGCCCACACACGGGTGAGGAACTGGACTGAAAAGCTGTCCTGGGGGGGGGGGTGAGGCTGGATGCTGGACCCTCAGAGGACTCTATTACACTGACCAACAGTCGGTACTATTGTGAGCAGTGTCTCCTTTGTACCTCCATTTACACAAAGGCTGAAAAACTTACCATAAAGCACACAAGTAACAGTCTCTTTAAGAAGAAGAAAAAAAAAAAAAAGGCATCTTAGCAAGCCATAAGAAAAATATTATACAGACCTTGCCATAAGGAGTATCCACATATTTTTCTGTTCTTCCTTCCAAGATGTCAGGATCGTCCAGACCAGTTCCACCAATAATTCCAATCTTACAAACAAACAAAAATAAGTATTAGAACTCTAGAGATTACATTGCATTTTAAATCTGACAGTGACACTAACCCTGGATTTCTATGACAGGTTTCAGAGTAGCAGCCGTGTTAGTCTGTATCCGCAAAAAGAACAGGAGTACTTGTGGCACCTTAGAGACTAACAAATTTATTATTTATTATTTATGCTCTAATAAATTTGTTAGTCTCTAAGGTGCCACAAGTACTCCTGTTCTTTTTCCTGGATTTCTAGCCAGCTACACAATTTATTTTTTGATTCATCTATGCTTGAGATGGGCCCAGAACCATGGATCCAAAAAGCACCAATCATTATAGCTACAGCTCAAGTTTCTCATGAAGACTTGCAAACATAGTTGTACCATGTCACTTTAGGCCATATTTCATTTAATTTTCCCAAGTACAAAGGCTTGACTACGACTCCCCAGGTCATACAGACACCAAATTTAAAAGTTATCAAACAGCACAAAGAAAGAGTCACTGATTAATCATTTATCCCTAATGTGAAAGTAAATATGGATGTTAACGGGCAAAGTTGATAACTGATGCCAAAGAGATCAGCGTAACCTATGCTGTAATCAAGGCTGTACCACAGATAGTATTCATATGAAATTGTGGTACACCTTTTCTGCAATGGGAAGAACAAGGACAAAGACTGAGTACCTCTGGTCACTGGGGACATAACGATCCCCAGAAATGCAACACCTGAACTGTCTTATTGATATCTTTAACCCTGATTGCCATTAAGGTATGGCTCATAAGCTTCTTCCTCTCCCAATAGCAGTTGCTTCTAGATGCATGGGGGAGAGACAAAAAGGAAAGTGTGTTGGCAACTAGTTAGATTTGCCTGACATGAAGCTACTAGCTGAGAAGTTACTAACTTTCAGGCCATGTAGCCTCCTTGAAAAAATGTATTACTTAGCTGACTAACGCCCCGGTTCAGCAAAGCATTCAGTTATCCAAACCTGCACAGTGCCCCACACCATTTTATCTGAGGTTAAATTGTGTAAGACATTCACGCTGAGCACACAGACTTTTACCCAGGATGGAAGCTGTCAACCAAAAAAGCCTTCCTTGCTTGCCTGCAATATACGTAGGAAAGATAGGAAGTATGGCAAGAGACCACCCTGGCTTAACCAGGAGATCTTCAATGATCTAAAAAATCAAAAGAGAGTCCTACAAAAAGTGGAAACTAGGTCAAATTACAAAGGATGAATATAAACAAATAACACAAGTATGTAGGGACAAAATTAGAAAGCCAAGGCACAAAAAGAGATCAAACTAGCTAGAGACATTAAGGGTAACAAGAAAACGTTCTACAAATACATTAGAAGCGAGAGGAAGACCAAGGACAGGGTAGGCCCATTACTCAATGAGGGGGGAAAATAATAACAGAAAATGTGGAAATGGCAGAGGTGCTTAATGACTTCTTTGTTTTGGTTTTCACCAAGAAGGTTGGTGGTGATTGGACATCTAACATAGTGAATGCCAGCGATAATGAAGTAGGATCAGAAGAGGCTAAAATAGGGAAAGAACGAGTTAAAAATTACTTGGAGAAATTAGATGTCTTCAAGTCACCAGGGCCTGATGAAATGCATCCCTAGAATACTTAAGGAGCTGACTGAGGAGATATCTGAGCCATTAGCAATTACCTCTGAGAAGTCATGGAAGACAGGAGAGATTCCAGAAGACTGGAAAGGGCAAATATAGTGCCAATCTATAAAAAGGGAAATAAGGACGACCCGGGGAATTACAGACCAGTCAGCTTAACTTCTGTACCCGGAAAGATAATGGAGCAAATAATTAAGCAATCAATTTGCAAACATCTAGAAGACAATAAGGTGATAAGTAACAGTCAGCATGGATTCGACAAAAACAAATTGTGTCAAACCAACCTGATAGCTTTTTTTTGACAGGGTAACAAGCCTTGTGGATAGGTGGGAAGCGGTAGACGTGGTATATCTTGACTTTAGTAAAGCTTTTGATACTGTCTCGCATGACCGTCTCATAAATAAAGTAGGGAAATGCAACCTAGATGGAACTACTATAAGGTGGGTGCAAAACTGGTTGGAAAACCGTACCCAAAAAATAGTTATCAGTGGTTCACAGTCATGCTGGAAGGGCATAATGCGTGGGGTCCTGCAGGGATCAGTTCTGGGTCCGGTTCTGCTCAATACGTTCATCAATGATTTAGATAATGGCATAGAGAGTACACTTATAAAGTTTGCGGACGATACCAAGCTGGGAGGGATTGCAAGTGCTTTGGAGGATAGGCTTAAGATTCAAAATGATCTGGACAAACTGGAGAAATGGTCTGAAGTAAATAGAATGAAATTCAATAAGGACAAATGCAAAGTACTTCATTTAGGAAGGAGCAATCAGTTGCACACATACAAAATGGGAAATGACTGCCTAAGAAGATCTGGGGGTCATAGTGCACTACAAGCTAAATATGAGTCAACAGTGTAACGCTGTTGCAAAAAAAAGCGAACATCATTCTGGGATGTATTAGCAGGAATGTTGTAAGCAAGACACAAGAAGTAATTCTTCTGCTCTACTCCACTCTGATTAGGCCTAAGCTGGAGTATTGTGTCCAGTTCTGGGCGCCACATTTCAGGAAGGATGTGGACAAATTGGAGAGAGTCCAGAGAAGAGCAACAAAAATGATTAAAGGTCTAGAAAACATGACCTATGAGGGAAGATTGAAAAAAATTGGGTTTGTTTAGTCTGGAAAAGAGAAGACTGAGAGGGGACAGGATAACAGTTTTCAAGTATGTAAAAGGTTGTTACAATTCTTCTTCCTCCTTGTTTTTCTTAATCTCTGAGGATAGACAAGAAGCAATGGTCTTAAATTGCAGCAGGAGCAGTTTAGATTGGACATTAGGAAAAACTTCCTAACTGTCAGAGTGGTTAAGCACCGGAATAAATTGCCTAGGGAGTTTGTGGAAAATCATTGGAGATTTTTAAAAGCAGGTTAGACAAACACCTGGGTGTCAAACACCATACTTAGTCCTGCCACGAGTGCAGGGGACTGGACTAGATGACCTCTCGAGGTCCCTTCCAGTTCTATGATACGATGTCCATTCAACTTCTCTTTGCTGGAGACGCAGGAGGTCCCAGCAACGTCTTAGACGGTAACTAGGGATTTCTTTTGAAAAACAATAATATGAGAGGGAACTATGCCTCTGCACTAATTTGTGCTACTTTAAAGGTAATCTTCAGACATAGGAGTATTTCACCAACTCACACATAAAAAAGGAGACAGATCGAAACCATTAAATCTAGAGCTGGTCAAAAAATGTCTGAAGAAATGTTATTCCATTGGAAAATGTCAATTGGTCAAAATGCTCCACTGAGTGTTGATTTGGATAAAAATTTAATTTAGAAAAAAACTGAAACCAAGCATTTTGATAAGGTTGGAACATTCCATTTAAAACTTATACAAATGTTTTGGTATATTGTGTTTTGAAACAACGTTTTTGTTTTTAAATTTATTTATAATTTTTTATTCTTGTAAAATGGCATAACAAAATAATTATATTACAAATGACCAGTCAGAATACCAGAAATGAGCAAATCAAATACCAATTTCAAATTACCAATCACTATTTCATATCATTTTAAATTCTTTAAATCCTAATCAAAAATATAAAAGTATAAAATATTAAAATATATAAAAGCCACAACTGAAACAAACATGACCCAAAACAAAACGTTTTGTGGGAAATTTTCATTCCAATTCAGAATGAAATTTTTTTGAAATGCTGGAATTTCCCACAGAATAGAAATTCTAGTTTTGATCAGCTCAGCTGCCCGAATGAATTATGCATCCTTCTAGATTTAAGGACCTGTAGTCCAGCTAACCCACTGCACCTACACAGACACCCTATTTTACAAGTTACTCAACCTAGCTTACCCAGAAGAATGCTGGAAAGGGGCCTGAGAACACTTCCACTATGGACAGAACCCCCACTGGGACTTTGTAGTTGTGCCACTGGACCCACTTTTGGGCTTAAAGTATTCTTTTTAAACCTTGTAACCTTCAAAGAGTGGTGCTTAATAATACCTGAAATGTAACAATGTGGTTTAGCATAACTCTATATTTGTGTTATAAAAAGCTAATTCCCATATGTGGAGTTTGCTTTCCAACCAAGGCCCACAACAAATCAGCAATTACCCTTACAGTAGTACCAGCTCCCCCTGCTGCTACCAAGCCAACTTAACACACGTACAAAGAAACACCATTTCTGTTCTTGGCTCTACCGCCAACCTGAGAAACCCCAGACCTCTACACAGAGTGTCTGATAGGGGGACAGTATTCACAGCCAGCTTAGCGGCATCTTCTGTTAGTGAAAGTATGGAGAATGTGAATTCATATTCTGCTGGGGATACGGGGTTGTTGTGGTTTTTTTTTTAAGCTTTGTGTTCTGGTGCAGTCTGCATAGAGTTAACAAGTTCCAGCATAGTACTAGCAACAAAAAGGGAATCTCCATTTAGTTTTAGCAAACACTGACTTCTTCAATAAAGCGACATCCATAGGAATAAAGATTTTGCGCATGTCCTCTTGTGTCAGTCAGAAAAGCAAAACGGTTAAACTGTCAGTGCCACATGTTCACAATGAATACTGAGGACAAACTGATTGATTAATGCGTACTTCAATCCAACCAAGTTGTGCAGCCTTCACAATAAAATTAATAACACAATGAGAAAGAAACATACACTTCCAAGTTATACCTTCCTTTGGCTTCCCAGTGGAACCAGTCGTCTTTGTATCTTTTAGGGTCTGATCCAACTCCCACTTAAGTCAATGGGAGGTTTTCCACTGACTTCAATGGGAATTAGATTAGGCTCTTCAGAGCAGGGGCTGTTTTTAATTGTGTGGTCCCCAAGCACACTGTTGGCACGTAAAGAAATAATTTCACCCTCTGTTACACACAGCAAAAAAATTGCTTTTTTCAATTGGCAGTTACTGTTGCAGTGT